GTGTCGCCATGGAAGGGCGTCATCCGATTCAGGAAGTGGGGCAAGTTGGGTCCCAGGTATATTGGACCCTTCAGGGTTATAGCCCGGGTGGGCAAGGTGGCGTATAGGCTGGACCTGCCAGCCGAACTCAGTCAGATTCATAGCACCTTTCACGTCTTCCAGTTACGAAAATGTTTGGTGGACGATTCGGCAGTGGTACCATTAGAGGATATTCAGGTCGATGACAGCCTGAATTACATCGAGCGGCCTGTAGCGATCCTCGACCGGAAGTCGAAGGATCTGAGGAACAAGAGGGTCGAGCTGGTAAAGGTGCAATGGCAGCACCAGAAGGGCTCGGAATGGACTTGGGAGCCGGTGGATGAGATGATGGAGCATTACCCAGAGCTTTTCCAGGAACGAGCAGCAGACTTCGAGGATGAAGTCTAAAATAAGTGGGGGAGATTTGTAGCACCTGGTTCCTGGTATGTATTTTATTTAAGTATTTTGCATTTTTGGCCTGGGACTCGGCGAGTTGAAGGACCAACTCGTCGAGTAGAAACGGATTTGATCCGGGATTTAAATGACGGACTCGTCGAGTCGGCTTCCAGACTCGACGAATAGACTCTGACTGGACAAAACCCTAATCTAAGGGTTTGCACCCTATTTAAACATCTCATTCAGCTACCCTTCGTCCCTATTGCTTCCAGAAAACCCCCATAGCAAACCCTAGCCGTTTGTATAAAGAGCTAAGGCATTTGTGGTGCTTTTTGGTGATTTTGAACTCAAAGGAGAAGGAAAAGCCTAGAGGAATCAAGAGGAAACCAAGGGAGTTCAAGTTTGTGCACCATTTGTAGTTCACAGAAGGTATAAAGTCGATACCTTGCTTGTTCTTTTGCTAGATCCCTTTTTTGGGGAGATTTAGGGCTTTTATAAGCCATTCTTGGTAACCAACCATGATTGCAAGCATGGTTGGGGGTTGAGGCTTCGGATCTAGGTCCATGGAGGAATTACAAGGCATAAAGGGGCTGCTTTTGCACCCATGGAAGCCCCCATGCAACCCAAGAGTCTCTTTTAGAGCCTTTTAGACTCAAAGTCCCATGCATGCACGTAAAGTTCGTAACTTTACGTGCTAGATCGAGTTTAGGGACCTAGATCTATCATTTGGACAAGAGTTGTACACCAGAAATCGAAGAAATAAGACTTGGACTGTATCGACTCGGCGAGTCGTTCTTGGGACTCGGCGAGTCCGAGGTTAGACTTCCCTTTTCTGTTATGGGTCAAGCAGACCCAGTGGAGTGCTGGAAAGGTTTTGGAGGGTCCGGAGGAGTGACCTAATGTATTGGGATAAGCCGTAGTCCTGGAGTTCATAGGACTCGGCGAGTACATGATCAGACTTGGCGAGTCCAAGGCAATCTCCCAACTCTTGAGGATGAACTCGACGAGTTGTTCATACAACTCGGCGAGTCGAGGACATGACTTGTTTATACAACTTTACGAGTCGGATGAAGGTTCATCCGGGGTTGTTCTAGAAGGAGAACTCGTCGAGTCGTTGCCAAACTCGACGAGTAGAGGCGTGAAGAAGGACAAATGAAAGGATAGGGACTCGACGAGTTGGCGGCCCAACTCGGCGAGTCGGGTCAACTGGAAGTTGACTTTGACTTTGTCTTGGACTTGGTCAGGGGTAAAATTGTCATTTCACCTTAAGGATAGATATCATACTCTGACTAAGTGTTTTTGTGGGGATTATAGCCGGAGGATTTCCGGAGCAGCAGCAGACAAAGATTTTCCCCACGCAGATTATCAGTAGCTTCGTTCAAGGTGAGTTACCTTCCAGTAGCGGTGGGTCTACGGCCACAATGTCGGCCCACTAGTAGGAGTTGTATGTTAGATGATTGTCTTTGTGATATTCATCTAAGTTTGCTACTACCTGATGTGTTATGTGCTAGTATGATATGATGTGATATGCTAGTAGCAGTAGGGGAGATAGTCCCCAAGGTTTCCGGTCGATAGGGCCGAAGGGGGTAGTCATACCCAGTCATGCTATATAGAATATGATTATGTGTTATATGTTATGTGGTAGTAGTAGAAGGGTGAAATAGTCCCCAGTATCAGGTCGAGAGGACCGAAGGGGAGGACAGCACCTAGATATGCTAGGCAGTATCCGGTCGAGAGGACCGAAGGGGAGGTCAGCACCCAGATATGCTAGGCAGTATCCGGTCGAGAGGACCGAAGGGGAGGTCAGCACCCAGATATGTTAGGCAGTATCCGGTCGAGAGGACCGAAGGGGTAGGTCGGGCACCCAAATATGCCTGACAGTATATGTATGTTATGTGATTGTATGGTATGCGGTACGATGGGGGAACTCACTAAGCTTCGTGCTTACAGTTTACAGTTTTGGTCTCAGGTACCTCTTCATCAAAGGGGAAGGAGTTGGCGCGGTAGCAGCACATCATACACACATGCATTGATTTTCCGCACTTGAGATATTCTGGGATTGTACTCTGACATGTTGCTACTTTATGATTTGGGTTTCCATACATGTTATGTTGATTTACGAAACGATATATTTTCACGTAGTTTTCTAACGAATGTTTTATACTCAGTTAATTAAAATGAAATTTTTGGACTCGAAATTTGGGATGTTATATACACTCACACAGAGATTATGTATTTTCTAGAACGCACACTTCATATGATCTGAATAATATTATGCCTTTAAAGGGCTTACAAAACGCAACAACAAACTACTTGAAAACGAAAAATGAACTACCCACTAGAGAGGAAATAGTAAACACTTACACAAATAAAAGGGTTATTTCCATAAAAAGACCCTATATTTTGATTTTTTTTCTTTCTAGACCTAAAACTTTTTTTTCCGAAAAAGACCTAATTTTTACATGTTATTTGTTATTTCAGAGACCCTGAGACCCTTACAGGTCACCAATAGGTAAACTGAGTTTGTTTTTTTTTTCATAAAAGACTATATTTTGTAATATTTTTTCGATTTAAACGTAAAACTTAAAAAAAAAAAAACTCAACTTTAACGTATTTCTTATTATTTCATTAATTAAGTCGATTACCTTCTACCCCAATGCAATAAATAGGTATACATATACTGGTTTTGTTTCGGGTTTTTTTTAATCAGTTTAAAATAAAATCGATTATGCCTAGGCGAGTTTCGTATTTTTCAGGTTTTTAAATGAAAGTGCGTTAAAAGAGTTTTCAGTTAAAATCGGTTTGGTTAGGTTATAGTAGAAAATCAGGAAAACAATCGGTTTCAAATAAATATTAAAACCTATTAATAACCGACGACATTAGCTAGTCGGTAGGTAGACTGGAGTTAAGAGATTAACCGGCTAGACAAAGATTAATCAGTGACCATTAATTATTTCGAAAATTATTCAAAAATTAATAAATATAACTTTAATCCTAAATGTATAAGTAACAAACATAAAAGTTGAACAATAAGTTTAACAAGAACAACAAATCATCTTCGTACAATTCCATAATAACCTTAAATAGCTCAAAAATAAAAATGTATTTTCTTCTAATCTTCTCCGCATACTTCCATTATTGAGGAGTTTTGCCGCCAAATAATCCCCACCAACTAACTACCATTTTGAAACAAAAACATATTATTAATTAAAAAAATATCAAAATTTTATAAAATAGATAACTAAAATTAGCAAGACCTGCTCCCTTCATCATACCTCCAGATCGGCCACCATCTATTTCATTCGTCACATTAATGAAGTATTTAGGCATCGGTAATATTGAATCAGAATGAATAAAGAGAAAATGAAAAAATAACTAATTTTCTTAACATATATGTTAAATGTTCATATTAATCAATTTAATGGAAGATGATGCATAATTACTTAAGGAACACAATATATCAATCCAATTTGCGGCAAGAACACTACAATAGTTGACTTTCTATCCAACATGACATGTTTTTCGGCATTATTTTGATATTCTCTCGACAAAGTTTCATACTATCCATGAATTAAGCTCACAAATAGCTTCCCATTACAAGATATGTTAATATTATCAATCACTAACAACCTGCACCGGTAGCCAACCATCACGAGAATAACCATCCAAAATTCATTATAGTCTTCAATGAAATGTAAGGTTGTAAGCGAAACAAACGTTTGACAAACTGTTCGTGACCAATGGCCTCGCTCGTTTATTTAGGTACGTGAGCGTTTGTTTATGTTTGTTCATTTACATTCATTCTTTTATATTTGTTTGTTAACATTTGTTTATGTTCGTTTATGATATTATATATGTTTGTCTTCCATGATGTTTTAGGATTGACTAATCATAATGATCTTAAATGTAAAACCATGCACTAAATTGTTATTTATCATTATGGATGGTGTCAGTAAATGGTCTAATAATAATAATAGATGGTAAATTTATATATTACAAGCCTAAAGTGTGAAATTTTCAGGTTTGATTTTTCATGAAGATATTTAATTATTTTTTGATTTTGGACGATTTACATTCTAGTATTTGTATACAAATATTTTATTGATTCATGGTTACTTGTTTGAATGGTTATGCTATTTATATTTGATTTTTGTTTATGTTCATTCATTTATTTTCGTTTGTTTATGTTCGTTTAACATATTAATGAGCAAAAACATATTAATGGACATTCATTTTTGTTTATGCTCATTCATTTATTTTCGTTTGTTTATGTTCGTTTAACATATTAATGAGCAAAAACATGAACAAGATAATTTTTTAAACAGACAAACACATTATGTTGTTTGTGTTTGTTTATGTGTTCATGTTCCTTTGTTAATTCGATGAAACTTAAACAAACAAATATAAACAAGTCTTGTTCCTATTTGTTTGTTTCAGATTGAGATACACATCACACACTAGAAATTCACATCAACGACTTCAGCTTAAATCTCATATACATAAATCAATCGATTCTTCATAATCAGATACATAAAGCAAGATACGTAAATCATAACGTCGGCTACCAATTAAACGCCTCTGCCTTCTTAACCTTCTTCGCTGTTAAGGAAAAAAAAAAAGTAAAACTTTCAATGCTATAATTGATAGCTTTTTCAAATAGGAAAAGATTAAAACTAACCTCTGAAATATGGATCCGGAGAACCTCACGCTTCCCTTTTTCCGATTGTGTTTTATTTGAAAATTTTCTCCAACCGTCAAACTTATTTCTTGTTTCGGCCACTTTTTAGAATGAAGATGGGCCACAACAATTTTCTTATTTTTGACTATGATATGGCATACAACTGATTTTTCTTTCTTTTTTTTATTCTTCCAAAAATTTGAGATAGAAGATTAAGTTTCAGCAGGTTGACTTTTCCAAGAAAAGCTTTCGCAATATAAACCACATCACCTTCTTTGACAGCTACATCAACCAATTCAGAACTCTTAACCTCAACATCTGCAATTAAAATAGCAAAATAAACCCCAAATTTGCATTGAAAAAATATAATAATAATAACAAAAATAACGACATAAATGAACTCAATAATCATCACAATTACGAGTTCAATTAAAGCTGGCCCACAAACACCACATCTTTTATCTCGATTGCCATGAGCACACACAAACACGTATGAACCTCTCACTACCTCCGGTGTTCTTGAAGCCCATGGTTTTCCATTCACAAGCACTTCCTCCACAAAACTATCCATGTTTGATTCTTCCAAACCCCTTCAATCACAAATGCACTAGTAAGTAAGCTACATATCGATTTGGATAATGGATACCCTAAACAGTTTGTAGATTCATGGAGAACCATAAAAGAAATCTGAGAAAAAAAAAAAACGAATCTACATAGCACACATGCAACAAATAGCTGATGAGTTTAAAACCCTAGCGAACTTTACAATACCTGTACTTGATCATATCAGGAAAAATCAAAACATCTCCATCTGAAAAACCAGTAGCAGCATTGCCCTCGAATATCGTTATCAGAGTCTACAATAGTCAGATCGTGAATAGAAACACTCAAAACCTTCATATACCTCATCAGAATAATTAACAAAAGTGAGCGAGTATAACCTTAACAGGGATATCGTTCTTACGCTCCTTGGTGGCTCCAGCAAGACGTTTAGGTAGCAGATCCGAGTCAGAGGATTCAACACGATCAGGCCAGTCTTCGCGAGTCTTGTAGCAGAGTAAAACGTGACGTTCGTAAGGATGAACGGATCCGGAGAGATTCTCGGTGTACATCTCCGGCCGTTGGAATCCGAACTTGACGTCATCATCGACCACCACAGCTTCAGTAGAGATGTTAACGGTACCGTTCTCTGATGTGTCGGCCATGCCGGAATAGGTATCGACGGCGAACGGAGGAGGATTTTGTAAAACGACTTTTTCACCTATCACTTTTTCCAAAAGAATTTTTAGTTAACTTTTACACTAAAAGTTAACTTTTAACTTTTCAGTTAAAAAGCCTTAAAAATTACAATTTTAAAAACCAACTTTTCCTTTTACATAAAAAAAAATTATTTTAAAATATATTTTTCATTATCCAAACATCTCTTTCGGTTTTTTTAACTTTTTGAAAAAGCTAAAAATCAAAAATTGTTTTAAAAACAATCGCAAACACGCTCAAAGACGTAGTTGGATAAACTTCAAGGGTAAGGAAACAACTCAGATGCTAATGGATTTTGCTTTTCAAAAAAGGCTTTTTCATCATTTACAATTTCACGTGTCGTAGTAGGGATTTTGGCTCTTGGGGTGTTTGGAAAAAGACAACGATTAACATCTTGTTTATTTTTTGTCCAGTAAAGTAAGGCCCCGTTCCATAGACATATTTCCATGTCCAAACAAATCGTTCTGGCTTAATGGACCGTAAATACTGTTTGATTTGGCACAAAAAAATGAATCTTTCCCGCTCAGATATGTTTTTCCCAGAAAACCCAAAATCATATCTTTTTTGATGAATGGGTTGGAAAGACAATTGTATCCCAAACCCTACCTTTTTTTTTCTTGGATTATTAATTTATTTTAAATATTTTTTTAATTTCTTTTTTATTGGATTATATATTTTAATGGATTTTTATATATTAATAAATATTACTTTTAATATTATAATATTTATGTATTAATAAATAGTATTTTATTGGATTGTTAATTTCTTTTCAATAAAAATTTTTTAATTTCCTGTTTATGGATTAATTCTCTTTTATTGGATTATTATATACTAATAAATATTATTTATAATATATAATATTTATATATCAATAACTATTATTTTATTGGATTATTAATTTAATTTAATTAATTTTTTTAATTCATTTTTATTTGATTAATTCAATTTTTGGGACAACACCACTATCATCCTAATTTATTATAAAAAAAGCTCATTCATCCCACCACTATCAGACATAAACTGGGTCAAGAATCACACATTGGGTTATAAAAAAATTAAAATGGATAGAAAGAATAACAACATAACATCAACTTGAAAAACAATAAACTAAAAAACAACCTAATCGACATTATATTTGGATTTTAATTAATTTACCTTTAATTACTTTGTATGACAGTTTATATTTGGATTTTAAAATGATTATCGTGTAATTTTGATTTTGTATGATAATTTGTGTGTTTTTATAATTATTCAGCAACTTTATCCATTACAATAAAGAACAACAGGGTAATATAGTCATTTTTCATCATTCAGCAAAGTCAGTCAGATGTACAATCAAACAACATGATTTCTTTCTCAGTTAGAAAACTTTCTCATACAACACTTTCCCAAACAGCACTTTCTCGGACATCAACTATCAAACGGGGCCTAATAAGATATTCACTAAAATAAGTATTGACTATAGTTTGACAAAACCACTTTTATTTATTTGATATTTATAAGCTAACCACTATGTATTATATATAATAGTAAATCTAAAGCCCCATTGTGAAAGTATTGTTTGGTGGGGAATTTTTTTTCCTTTGGATCACTTTTAACCGCTTTTAAACTTTTTTTTTGTCAATTTCCGGAAACACGTGTTACAGAAGCCAATATACACGTGTTACAGACACGCTTCCTAAGCTGAGACACGTGGAAGGTGTTGTGGATCTGGCTAAGCTTGACGGGTAGATCCAATCGATAGGCCAACTTGCCAATCTGAGTTGTAATCCTGAATGGGCCAATGAATCGGGGCCCTAGCTTGCCCCTCTTCCGAAACCTGATGACACCCTTCCATGGTGACAATTTCAGCAACACGAAGTCCCCCACCTGAAACTCGAGATCCGAGCGACGACGATCAGAATAACTTTTCTGAAGGCTCTGCGCGACTCACAGCTTATCGCGTACCTGCTGGATCAACTCGGTGGTCTTGAGCACCACCTCGGTGCTTCCCATGAATCGATGCCATACCAGCCTACCTCCCCCCCATACACGGGAGTCCTGCACCTCCTCCCATACAACATCTCAAACGGGGGTCGGTCTATACTAGCATGATAACTATTGTTATATGAAAACTCTTCTAGTAGGAGGTATGTATCCCAACTTCCTCTGAAATCCAATACACATGCCCGCAGCATATCCTCGAGCGTCTGGATCATCCGCTCGCTCTGGCCATCTGTCCGGGGGTGGTACATGGTGTTGAAATGTAACTGAGATCCAAATTCTTTGTGAAACTTCCTTCAAAACCTGGATGTAAAACGTATATCCTCGAGCATCTGGATCGTCCGCTTGCCTGACCACCACCTCTCACACATAAATATCTGCTAATTTCTCAGCAGAGACACTCTCGGAGATCGGAATAAAATGGGCACTCTTCGTCAACCTGTCCATAATGACCCAAATAGAGTCCACACCCCTCACCGTCCTCGGTAACTTCGTAATGAAGTCCATGGTGATCTCTTCCTATTTCCACATGGGGATGGGTAGCGGCTGAACCTTGCCGTGAGGCTTCTGATGTTCGGCCTTGACCTTCCTGCAGGTCAAGCACTACTCCACAAACCATGCGATCTCCCGCTACATGCAAGGCCACCAGTAACTCAATCTCATATCCCTATACATCGTTGTGGCCTCCGGATGAATAGAGAACTTGAATTTGTGTGCTTACTCCAAGATCTTTTGTCTCACACCTCTAGATACTGGTACCCACACCCGGCCACACTGTGTCAACAGACCCCGACCATCCCAAACAAACAAGGGAATCTGACCCCGAATCCGCTCTATCTTCTAGTTCTCTTTCTTCAAACCCTCCACCTGAGCCTCATTGATCATATCCAACAAGGGGGAAATCACCGCCATCCTCAAACAAACATCCCTAATCGGAGCACTCGCCGCTTTGCGGCTCAAGGCATCGGCCACCACATTGGCCTTCCCTGGGTGGTACAAAATCTCGAAATCGTAATCTTTCTGTACATCCAACCACCTCCTCTTCCGCATGTTGAGGTTCTGCAGATCCATCAAATACTTCAAACTTTTGTGGTCAGTAAAGATGGTGCACCAGACTCCATACAAGTAATGCCTCCAGATTTTGAGGGCAAACACAACCGCCCCCAATTCTAGGTCGTGAGTGGGGTAGTTCGCCTCGTGAGGCTTCAGCTGCCTCGAGGCGTACGCGATCACACGCCCCCTCTGCATCAAAACAGACCCTAACCCTATGATAGACGCATCACAATACACCACCAAGTCATCCAGCCCCTCGGGTAGTGCTAAAATCGGGGCCTCACATAGTCTTTTGTCTCAGGGTCTCGAAAGTCAATTGCTAATTCGGGCCCCACCGAAATGTCACATTCTTCTTGGTCAAGCGAATCAAAGGTACGACAATCTTGGATAAATACCGGATAAATCTCGGGTGATACCCCTCTAGGCCGAAGAAGCTACGGATCCCAGATGCATTCTTTGGTTTCTTCCCATCGTAACACTGCCTCAATCTTGGCTGGCTCAACCAAAATACCCTCTTGGTTGATGATGTGCCCCAAAAACTACACCTCACGCAACCAGAAATCACACTTCTAGAACTTGGCATAAAGCTTTTCCGCCCTCAGTGTCTCCAATACCTCCCTTAAATGTTGCTCGTGCTGCTCATTGGTCTTAGAATAGACCAAGATATCATCGATAAAGACGATCACAGACCGATCCAACATCGGCTTACACACCCTGTTCATGAGGTCCATAACCGTTGTCGGGGCATTGGTGAGCCCGAATGGCATCACCACAAACTCACAGTGATCGTACCGAGTCCTGAAAGCTGTCTTTGGTATATCCTCATCCCTAATCCTCATCTGATGGTACCCTAACCGAAGATCAATCTTGGAAAACCAAGATGCACCCTGAAGCTGATCGAACAAATCATCGATCCTCGGAAGCGAATAATGGTTTTTCATTGTCAGCTTATTCATTTCCCGATAATCGATGCACATCCTGTGTGACCCGTCTTTCTTCTTCACAAATAGGATCGGTGCTCCCCACGGAGAACTGCTCGGACGAATAAACCCTCGGTCTAGTAGCTCCTGAAGCTGTGTAGACAGCTCCTGCATCTCGGGCGGAGCTAGCCGGTACGGTGCCTTGGTTATCGGAGCAGCACCCGACACCAAGTCAATGTGAAATTCTAGTTGCCTCTCCGGAGGCACCCCAGGCAACTCCTCAGAAAGACATCCCTAAAATCCCGTACAACGGGTATATTGTCCAAATTTTTCGTGGTCTCAACCCTCGTATCCGATATGTATGCCAAAAATCCCGAACAACCCTGATGGAGAAATCTCCTAGCTCTCGCAGTTGAACAGAGGGTTGGCCCCTGCAAGGCTCTCTCCCCATGAATAACCAGTTCTCCCCCACTTGGGGTTCAAACTCTCACCAGTTGGCGCTCACAGTCTATCATGGCTCCATTGGCCCCCAACCAGTCCATTCTGACGATCAACTTCAGTCCTCGCAACGGTATCGGAACTAGATCAACACGGAACCTCTCCTCAAACATATTCAGGATACAGTCCCGATATACCCTCGCAGCACTCACGGTACGGTCATCTGCAATCTCAACCTCCAGCGGGGAATCCAAAGTCCCCGGAGCATCCTGGAACTTCTTGCTAAGCGCAAGATATACGAATGACCGGGTTGCTCCCGAATCGAAAAGAACATGAGCCGACATACCGTTGACCAAAAAGGTCCCTATACAAGCGCACACATATATACGTAAGCATAACAATTAAATATCAGACGGGGAAAAATAGATTATGTACTAACCACGACGTATGACGTCGCTCGAGCCTCCCTGTGGTCAACTGAAATGCGCGACTCTTCACCGCAGGAGCATCCGCCTTGGCAGGGCGGCCATCCGTGATCCTCATTGTGGCGGGCG